GGATGAGAGAGAGGGGAGTGTGAAAGACCTAGGAGAGAGGGGGTTAAATACAAACTCAGGAGATGAAGATGAAGAAGCCGCAGTGGGAGAAAGGGCGGTGGAAGAGGAGAGGCCTCAAGGAAATAAAGACACCAGTTCTTAATTTGAGTTCTAATTTGAGGTAGAATAGCAGGACTACCCAAACAATACTGGACACTTTAAAATTTTTATCATGGAACGTGAATGGACTGAATGAGAAAGCCAAAAGGAATAAAATTCAAAAAGTTTTGAAAAATAAGAAATGTGATGTAATCTGTTTTCAGGAAACTCATATTGCAAAGAGACACAGACATATTTTGGTGAATAAAAAATTAGGAGTAGAATTTGTAAATTCGGACGTAAAAAAAAAAAAGGAGTGGTAATATACGCTAAAGAAAGGTGGGAACCAATACAAATTTGTAAAGATGAGGAAGGTAGAATACTAGGTATTCAACTAAATTTCCGAGGAGAAAGAATTAACGTAGTGTCGGTATACGCTCCGAATACTAATAGAGCGGAGTTTTTTAGAAACCTTGAAAGTATGCTATTAGAATTGGAACCCTATAAACTAATTTTGTTGGGAGACTGGAATGGGGTGCCTACACCGAGTCTAGACAGAAGTGAGAGTCAGAGGAATGCAAACAGGGGGAAGCTCCCTAACTCTTTTAATGAGTTAGTGGAAAATTTAGACCTAATTGATATTTGGAGACACCGAAACCCTACTACTAAACAGTTCACCCATTACTCAGAGCCCCACCAGAGTTGGGGCAGGATTGATCAGATATGGATGACTAGGGCTTTGGCATGGAGAGTCAAGAGATGTGAGATACAACCTAGGACTCTGTCAGACCACTGCCCCTTGACTTTAGAAATTAAAATTGAGACGAAAGGGCAAGTCAGGTGGAGGATGAACGAATACCTATTTGAAAATGGGGAGGTGCTAGACATGGCCAAAAAAACTTTGAGAGAGTATTTGGAGATAAATTGGAATAGAGATACCCCAATAGAGTTGGTATGGGATGCCGGTAAAGCAGTCCTAAGGGGCTTTCTAATACAACAAAACAGTTTTAGAAGGAAGCTAAGGGAGAAAAAGAAAGAAGAAATTTTGGCCCAATTGAGAGATTATGAAAGGAAACTGGCCCTAAACCCGACAGATGAAGGGATTAACCAAGCGATGAAGGTGTTGCAGGCCCAATTCTCAGCGATTTTGAACCAAGAGGTAGAACAGAAAATTAAATTTACAAGACAGAAATATTTCGAGTCGGCCAACAAAATGGGGAAGCTACTCGCATGGCAGCTCAGGAAAAGAAAGAAACAAAATGTGATCAACAAATTAATTATAGATGAGAAGGTGATAGAAGATCCAGAGGAAATTGAAAGCAGGTTCGTTACTTTCTTCGAAAAACTGTATGAAAAAGGAGATGAGAGTAATACAGAAATAGAGAACTATCTAGAAAAAGAAGTAGGAAAATACTTTACAGAAGAGGACTGTATACAAATAAACAAGGAGGTGACAGTGGAAGAGGTCAGGGATGCCATTAACAAAATGAAGAACGGGAAGACTCCTGGTCCGGATGGCTTACCCGCGAAATATTATAAAAAACTGATAGATGTGCTAGCACCGGTCCTAGCGGAAGTAATAAACAATATTTTTCAAGAAGGGAGGACCCCCAGCTCCTGGAAGGAGGCGTATATTACGTTAATCCCTAAGAACGAAAATGAAAAGACAGATTTAAAAAATTATAGGCCAATTTCACTTTTAAATTGTGACTATAAGATCTTCACGGATATTTTGGCAACTAGGCTTAAAAAGTTATTAAATAGATATATACATAGAGATCAAGTGGGATTCCTCCCAGGTAGGCAGCTGAGGGACAATGTTCGTCATGCTTTAGATATTATCGAATACTTGGAGGCAAGATCTGATATATCAGCAGCCCTCATTTTCATCGATGCAGAAAAAGCATTCGACCGTGTCTCTTGGGAATTTCTGTTAAAAAATCTTGAAAAGGTGGGAATAGGGGGCCCTTACCTGAAGGGTATCAAGGCGATTTATACAGAACAGCAGGCGAGGCTGATTATTAATAATAATTTGACCAAATATTTTTCAATTATGAAAGGTACAAGGCAGGGTTGCCCTCTGTCACCTTTATTGTTTATTACGGTGCTAGAGACAGTAGCAAATAAAATAAGAGCGACCCCGTCTATTAGAGGAATAAGAATTGGTGTGAAAGAATATAAATTAAAGGCCTACGCAGATGATCTGGTCCTATTTTTAGAGAACCCAGTTGAAAGTATTAGCAGAGCGGTAGAACTTCTGGAAGAATTCGGCAAATTGTCCGGATTTAAGTTAAATAGGGGAAAAACCAAAATATTAATAAAGAATTTGACAGAACAGGAGAAACAACAGTTGGAACAACAAGTAGACCTAAAAGTAGTAAATAAAGTGAAATATTTGGGAATTTGGCTATCGGCAAAGAATATTAATTTGGTAGAGGATAACTATAATAAGCTGTGGAAAGAAATTAATAAGGATATGGATATTTGGCGCAGATTGAACCTATCATGGACCGGGAGGATGGCATCAATTAAGATGTGTATCCTCCCGAGACTCCTATTTTTGTTCCAGAACTTACCAGTTATAAAAGGCACCGCCTGCTTTAAAAACTGGCAAAGAACCCTGACCAAATTTATTTGGCGGGAGAAAAAACCCAGGGTGAAACTTAAATACTTGATGGACTCTAGGGAGAGAGGTGGCTTCGGGATACCAAATCTAAGGTTATATTACGAGGCGGCATGCCTACTTTGGATAAAAGAGTGGGCCACTCTGAAGGACACAGATCTACTAGATCTGGAAGGATTCGATTTAAGATTTGGGTGGCATGCCTACCTCTGGCAGGAGAAGGATAAAGTTCATAGAGGCTTCTATAATCATATAATTAGAGGATCTCTTTTAGAAGTTTGGAATAGGAAGAAAAACCTGATTGAACAGAGCACTCCTTGGTGGCTTTCACCTGTGGATATTATTAAGATAAAGAAATTAAACATGATAGGCAAAAGATGGACGTACGAAGATCTTTTAATTAAATCGGAAGAAGGGTGGAAACTAAGACTGTCAGATGAATTGAAAGAGGGAATTAAGGATTGGTTCTACTTACATCAAATCAATGCAGTATGGAGTGAACATAAGAAAATAGGTATGGGGGCAAATAAATCTAGATTTCAAGTGGAGATCTTGGAGAGTAATAAGAAACTACTCTCCAAAATGTATAAACAATTACTGGAAAACGAAAATAAGGAAGAGTTGATTAAAGAAGTAATGATTAAATGGAATAAAGATTTAGGATATGAGTTAGGATATGATAAATGGCAAACCCTGTGGAAGAAGGGTATGAGATTTACTGCGTGTGCTGACCTATGTGAGAACCTATATAAGATGATGTATCGTTGGTACCTGACCCCGGCAAGATTAGGTAAAATGTATAGAACAGTAGATAATACTTGCTGGAGGTGTAAAGACAAGGTAGGGACCTTTTTCCATATTTGGTGGACCTGTGAGGAAGTGAAGGGCTTCTGGGGACAAATATATGAGGAATTAAAGAAAATTTTAAAGTGCAACTTCCCCAAGAAACCGGAAGTGTTTCTCCTAGGGATGATTGGGGAGGAAATAAAAAAGACAGACCAGACCTTCTTCCAGTACGCCACCACTGCAGCGAGGATTTTAATAGCAAAGAAATGGAAATCTGACGAAATACCCACAATGAGAGAATGGCAGGTAAAACTATATCAATATTTGGAATTGGCAAGGCTTACACAATATATCAGGAGGGACAATCTTGTTAAAAAGAAAGAGGATTGGTCCAAATTTTTAAGCTATCTTGAGATTAACTTGGGAATTAATAATTTAACAGTAGATGATGATTAACTCCTACGACATGTAAAGAGAAAATGAAAATCACTGCAGAAGACGTATGTAGAATACTTAATCCAAAGCTGAGGTTAATGGAAGTCAAATGTATGTAAGGGTATGATTGGAAATGTTGCCTTTTGGTATTGTTTTTCTTTTTGTCTCTTTTTCTTTTTTTTTTTCGTAGAAGTATGTGTCTTTCTTAATGTACGTTTTGTGTTTTTGAGTGTATAATTTTTCTTTTTATGTGTGTAAATTTTATGTGTTTGTAATAAAATTTAATAAAATAAAAAAAAAAAAAGGAGTTCACCAACGCGCGCGCGCACACACACACACACGTACACACACACGTATACACACACACACACACACACACACACAGTGTGTAAATTTGTGTTCATCCTTCATGAGGAATCATCATCAGAAGCCAAAGGTCTTCTGAGCAAGATATATTTCAGTCAGATGGAGATGCTGTTATTGTCTTTTTGGTTGGCCATGTGGAATATTTTGTAAACTCAGTCGCTCAAGGGCCAAGCTGTAAGCCTGGCAACAAACATGGGTCCTAAAACTCCTTAGTAAATGCTTCCCTGTGGTGAATCAGCAAGGGGAAGTAGTTGTACAAGCGAGAAATGGGAGGTGTATTATCTGCTAAACCCTTCTTCCATGCACCACAGTCTCCCTGCTTTTCCTTCTCTACTTTTAAGGTTAAGCATACACCTCCATACACCATTTCTCCCTTGTGAATGGGATCCATCACTCTGCAACAGAGAAGCAGAGGCCAGAGTTCCCACGTGCATGCATTACTGTCAAAACATATCACACACACACGCACACGTTTATGTATGAAAAACAGCAAAGCAAACAAGCAACAATAAAACCTAGAAATAAAACTGTATACATTTTCTTTATATGCATAATGGATGCCATTTTGGAATTGTGGAGAAGGGAGAGAAGGGTATAAACAGCTTTGACTATGAAGAAAAACCTCTTCCTCAAGCGAAACGTGCTTAATGCTATGAAAGGAGATCTTTACTTTGTTTTGCAGAGAATGGGATATTAAGCAAAAACTACTTACAAAGTAAACCGCTCCAAAACTTCCATGTCCAATTTCATGTAAACCCACAAATAGTTCCTGAGGATCATCTTTGTAGAACAGGTCAGCTGCATCTGGGTCTTTTGGCACCCCTTTGCGCATGGTGAACAGTATTAGGACCTTGTTCCCACCTCCAGTTCCCAGTCAGTTTCTTCCCTCATTGACAATGGAGTCCTTAGGTAACAATTCAGAACCTGGGGGGCAGGGGGAGAAATTTGTAGACAATTGAAATCACTGGAAGTATTTAAATTTGTTTAACTCAGGTGCCTTCTCTACAGTTTGAAGAAAGCAACTTTTAAGGAGATAATTTTTCCATGTTCCCCAAAGAGGAGGATGGGGAACCTGTGGCACTCCACACATTGCTGGACTCCCAACTGCCATCATCCTTGACTATCGGCAACAATGGTTGTGGCTGATGGGAGTTGGAGACTAACAATCAATCTCTGGACAGCCGTAGGTTCCCCATCCCTGGGAAGTTCTGTTTAACTGTTAAACAGATGTTTCTGAGAGCATTTGGTTTGTTTATTTAAATCTGAAATATTTGTATCCTGCTTTCCTGCCTGAAAACAGGCCTTCACGGCAGCATATAAAAACAAATCCATCCATACAAAGGTGTTGTTGTTTTTTTGGGTGGGGAAGGCAGCAGTGACAGAAAGAGACACCCTGTTTCCCAGCTGTGGCTTTTAAAAATGTTCCACAGTGACCACATGGGAAAATAGCCCCCCTCCCCCAAGTTTTGTGTCTGAAATTAGGGCACTTCCTCTTAGGCAGCTGGTTCATGGCTCTATCCAGCAGCAGTGGTGACTGAAAAAGTGGAAGGAATGAGGATATTCAAATGTCCACTCCCCTGGCCTTAAATATTTCTGTTGCTGCTCTTGTGGTTTAAAAAGCATATTTTGCAGAAGGTGGGGTTGTTTTATTTCCAAACAAGCCTTTTCATGATACAATCCTCTATTAATAATACTGTAGTCCAAATGCCACTCAAACAGCAAGTCCTTAAGACACATGTGCTTAGGAACAAAAAAACCCAACTGCCGCTGTGCAGAATCTCTTAAAATGTTAGGGAAGTGTTTTTTCCTCCTTACAAGTGTATAAGTTAACAAACAAAAAAAGATCAGGGTTGCGGGGAAGAAGGATTGTAATCCTTCCAGCTTGGGACATGGAACCAATCAACATTTTAAAAGACTGCAGGATACAAGGATTGAAAAAAAGGCTTAATTAGAGCTGGGCAAAGTAAGAATTACATCACACCACTGAACTGGGGCAACTCACCTGGTATAAATCTGATAAGCATTTGAATCAGAAACTCCAGGAAGGATAAGTTTCTAAAGTCAGGTAAACTGGCCAGCTACTTAGGAAAATAAAGACACTTTGGGGAAAGTGATAAATATAAGTTGCTGACAAGTGCGCCAAAGCCCCAAAGACAGGGCAAATTTTATATGACAGATAGTGGGTCTGTGGGGCCCGTCTCGCCCCTGCCCCCTCACTGAGGCTGCCACCATCCCTTTTCTTTATCATGGTCCTACCATCTGGCCATCCTCTACCAAAGGGGTAAGCAGACATCAAGATCTACTTCAGTAAAACGGTTTTGCAGTCGGGCCACCAACTAGCAGTCGGGCCACTGACTAGCTAGGTGCAAAATGGTTGCTGCAAGGATATGCAAAATGGTGGCTCAGGGAGAAGTGCCTCACCTACTGCACCTCATAAGCTACATACTAGGGATGACCTGAAAATGCACAAATATACACCTGTAATTCTGAAAGCCTAGAAAAGAGGAGAAGTGCCCTTTTGCAGCAAACAACTGATAGCCAGAAAGACTTGCAGAGCCACTGCAAGTCATACAGCAATTTAGTAATAAATTATCCACTCTTCACTGTAAGGATCCTGGGGGTGGGGTTACAGAAAACCAGAACCATCTAGATCCCTCTTCTACCATGTTTTGTTAGGGTGCCTCATGGGACACATGGGTGCAGTGTTAAAAGGATGGGTGCTGGCACCTTCATGGTGCTGACATTACCATCCTTTTGGTGCTGGGTTATGTATAACTTATTCCAGCCGTTTGAGGAAATGTGAATGTCATGCTTATTGCTTCTTTCTGTTATATATTTTGGAGTTCTGTTGTTTATTGTTGAACTTGATGGCTGTTTTTAACAGTCTATATAAATCAACGGAGAGAACTTTTGTATGAGACAACAAATAATGCTAGCTTGACTGAGATGGGAACCACTACTAAGAGCGGCATATGGCAGGTGACTCTTCTAGGGTTAGACTCACAGGCAACTTAACTGAAAAACACTGCTATGTAATTGTACTATTAACTTCATTCTAAACAAGCCTAATGCACAAACAACAGATAAACAAACAAGGTTTTCCCCCTGGATTACTGTTGCTACAACCATATTGTACTAACACCCTATATTGTCTATCAGGGGTAATTTTTTTTTTTAAAGTACACTTGTTTACAGCTGCACCCATTTAATTAATATTTATTCATTATATTTCTGTACTGTTCCACAGTGAAACTCTAAGCAGCTAATAAAATTCAATAACACAGAAAACTGAAACAAAGCAAGAAATACAAACCATATTTATTATGTAAAACCCAGCAGCTTGCTCAGAACCCTGAGATTTCTAGCGGCCAGTGTTGAACAAGAGCCACATGTATGGAAAATAAGGGGGTGGGGATTTAAAGACCATTTATATTATAAAATATTTTGAACCTAGAAGTTTCATGGATGGCAGTTGTAGGGTCTGTAAAATTTATGATTTTTAGCCACAGATGTTCTTGTTATTTTTAAACACGCAGCATTGTCAGTCTCATCCATTATGGAGCTGGGGGACTGAGGAAGTGTCCCCATCTTTAGGGTCCTTATCACAGAGATAGGCTGCAAAAGAGGCAATTCAGCATACCTGGGTAACTATAGCAATAAGCATACTCTATGGTCCAGGCTCATTTCAGTAGAAACATTAGGTCTCCTTTTCTGTTGTGTCTCTGGGCTCTATATACTCTTGCCTTCCAACCTAAGGAGTGGGGGAAACAGAAATAATTAAAACAGATAAATACATTCTACAAATGAGCAGTTCCTGGTCTGCAGAGCTGCCCCCAATACAATTTTTGACCCAACTGCAGCTGGTGCCAATTAACCATTTCCCTGATATTTGTACTCCCACTCTTTGGGTCTAAACTGACACATCTTCCAGAAAACAAGGCAAAACTTTATCCTCACCTCTGGTCAAAACACAAGGCAGCAATTACTTACCTTCCTGTTAACAGCGAAGCAGGAGCCTGGAGGGAGGGGCTGGCCATCACAGCACCAAAGAATACGGTAACCTCAAGCCTCCAAGCCTACACATATTTTCAACAAAAACTATTTGGCTGGCCTCCATGTGAGAACTATATGTACTTGCATAAAGAACATTAAAAAGGAGCCCTGATTTCATGAATAGTAATGAAAATGGCAGTTTCCCCTTCTAGCTAAAGCCTCTGCATACACCTGCACCTTGATACACAATTCTATACTGTGTCCCACGTTGGGTCTATAGACAGGGTACAACAATATTAAAATACTTATCAAAACATAAAAATACAGGGAGAAAATGCAACTGAAAGACTAGGGCAGAGTTAAAACAACATATTGAGATCAAGGCCTAGGCACACAAGTATGTGTGTTTTTAAAGCAACCTAAATGCCATTAATGTCAGTGCCTAGGACTTGCCGATCGTATGGTCGGCGGTTCGAATCCCCGCGGCGGGGTGAGCTCCCATCTTTCGGTCCCAGCTCCTGCCCACCTAGCAGTTCGAAAGCACCCCCAAGTGCAAGTAGATAAATAGGGACCGCTTTATAGCGGGAAGGTAAACGTGTGCTGCGCTGGTGCTGGCTCGCCAGAGCAGCTTCGTCACGCTGGCCACATGACCCGGAAGTGTCTCTGGACAGCGCTGGCCCCCGGCCTCTTGAGTGAGATGGGCGCACAACCCTAGAGTCGGACACGACTGGCCCGTACGGGCAGGGGTACCTTTACCTTTTTAAATGTCATTAATACAGACACTCATCTAAACTCAGAGGGAAGGAATTTCCATACTTTCGGCACCACCACAAAAGAGGCCCTCTCTCTACTGGTTGCTAACCATAGGCTGCATCATGGATAGGAAGATCTCATCAGCTGATCATCACAATGATTGAGGAACCTCAGTTCCAGGGGACAAATGCAGCCCTCCAAGTCCTCTCTATTGGGTCCTCAGGGCTCCGTTATCAAGGTAATTTCGCACAACAGACAAACACTAAAAAAATTCTTTGTTGCAGCATTCCTTTACCCAGGGAGTCAATGCTGACATCCAGCAGTGTGACAGATAATAGTTTTGTCTACAACAATCCCTGGCCAGTTGGACATCAATCCCTGGCTGCTTTGCACATCAGCAGCAGTGAAAATAAGCAGTTATGGATGTACCTGTAAGGTCTAGTAAATGGACAAGGCTTAATGTAAGTTTTGAGCTTCTTTCTTTTGTATACTGATACGAATATTTGTTGAATAAGAGAGGCAGGGTAGAAAATGCTTTTGGGCGCTATTTTCTGTCTGGCATGGAGATATAACCGAAGCTATATTTCAGTTAAGGGACGCAGGTGGCGCTGTGGGTTAAAGCCTCAGCACCTAGGACTTGCCGATCGAAAGGTCGGCGGTTCGAATCCCTGCGGCGGGGTGCGCTCCTGTCGTTCGGTCCCAGCGCCTGCCAACCTAGCAGTTCGAAAGCACCCCCGGGTGCAAGTAGATAAATAGGGACCGCTTACTAGCGGGAAGGTAAACGGTGTTTCCGTGTGCGGCTCTGGCTCGCCAGAGCAGCGATGTCACGCTGGCCTTTTCAGTTAAATTCTCTTTTTCAATGAAAGAAAATAATCACAGATGCGGGTGCTAAGAGAGTGGTTAGCATGAGACAGGTTGGGGGAGCTAAAGTACCTGCAAGAGACTTTACCTACTTGCAGGGCTTCATATTCCACAATTAACTTGAACCATACACACATGCACCTGGGACGCGGGTGGCGCTGTGGGTTAAAGCACAGAGCCTAGGACTTGCCGATCAGAAGGTCGGCGGTTCGAATCCCCGCAACGGGGTGAGCTCCCATTGTCCGGTCCCAGCTTCTGCCAACCTAGCAGTTCGAAAGCACATCAAAGTGCAAGTAGATAAATAGGTACCACTCCGGTGGGAAGGTAAACGGCGTTTCCGTGTGCTGCTCTGGTTCACCAGAAGTGGCTTAGTCATGCTGGCCACATGACCCGGAAGCTGTCTGCGGACAAACGCCGGCTCCCTCAGCCAATAAAGCGAGATGAGCGCCGCAACCCCAGAGTCAGTCACGACTAGACCTAATGGTCAGGGGTCCCTTTACCTATGCACACATGCAGTGTCCTGTTAACAAATTAATTGGATACAAGCCTTTTTTGTCACTGTGCACTGGTGCAATAAAGGCAAGCACCTCTTTCACACGGTACTGGTGCATACATAAAATGCCCACTCAGCTGTAACATATGAAAAAGCCCTTTCAGTGACAATTCCAAACTACTGAGAGCCAAATATTTTCTCAGCAACAAACTCACTTGCCAGCTTCAGCAAGCTGCTATTCTCTCAGCTTCAGTTTTCTACTTGCAAAAGGGGACCACACCTTTCAGGTCAGGGCTGTTCTGAAAATTGCTGAATACACACGAAGCACTTCAAACATTCTAAAATGCTACTTATTGTTATCATTATCCTTACACTTACTGAGATCATATAGCATCTGAGCCCTTTTAGCACACTAGAAATAAATTTTAAAATATATTTATTATTTATTAAAGCCTTACTGCTAGAGACACATGGCTGCTCTGAGCTGATTTGCAATGTTTAATTTACTGGCCCATAATAAACCTGAGCATCTGTTTCCATGTAAAGGCTTGCCCCAGCCAAATAATGCTGCTGTTATGTCTATTGAAGGACAATTGTTTGAAGACTGCAAAGCATCTGACAGCATGACTAAGGATGCATCCACAGATGGCAGCTGCCCACACTCCTGGCTCAACGCTGTAGCACACAACCATAGTGCATTCAGGAAACTCAGAAACGTTCCCTTCAACATAGCCCCTACCCTCCCTAGAAGATGACAGCTATTCATGGATCACCTACCCTCCCTAGAAGATGACAGCTATTCATGGATCAGACCGATACTCATCAGCCATTTGGATCAGCAGTGGAATCAGGGCAGGCTGAAGAACAGTACACACTTGCATGGTGTGAAAGCAGCATATTCAAACCACCCACAGAAAAGACACTTGCAGACCATTTCCCTGACTATCAACACCTTGCAAATTGCAGGAGAAACAGGTCATTCAGTGGCCAAGCCAAAATCGTGGAATACCTGACAAGATGAACTTGGCCCTCTTAAGCTTTTTTGCTGGCTGGTAAAAGTTTTCCAATTATGGCAAGAGACTACCTTGCCAGACAGATTATTCTTATGTCATAAAAGCATTCTCAGATGATAGTCTATTTGCCAAGCCTATATACATTTTCGGCTGATTTGTTTTTTTAAGGGATTGTTTAAGTTTGTAATTGTTGTAAGCTGCTCTGAGTGATGCAGACGCATTCGAAGGGTGGGGCATGATGTTTTTCTCAAGAGAAACATAATTTTGGGGTTGGACAGGTCTCCTGGCAGAAAAATACAGTACAACCCCCCCCCCCTGTTTCTAGTTATCAGCATCTTCTACTTTAAGACAAGTCCTTAGTTTTGAAGGCTGCAATATTTACCATTTCAATGTGTACCCTTGTTTTTCTGCCTAGCAGTTCTCAAAAGCATTCAATATGATAAAGTATCCCATTTAAAATTAAAACAAAGCCATTAAATTAACCAATTCAAAATCGGCCTGCTGAAATCAGGTTTGAAAGAAGCATTGTGGGGTATGTAATGCCCAAGACAGTTTATCCAGTTTGAAAATGGACCCACGGGCCCAAAATGGTTGGTGATCACTGCAATATGGCACTTCCCTTGTGTTCTTTCCGGTAACAAATATTCATAGAATTATAGAGTTGCAAGGAACTCTGAGGATCATCTAGTCCAACCCCCTGCAATGCAGGAATATTCTGATCAGAAGAGCCAATACTTTCCACATGTGGCTCTGCCTATGGATTCTCTTCATATCAACCCATAATACCAAAGGGATGGTTATTTCTGAAATCGAAAGATGGCAACCACCACACATCAGCTTCACAGTATTAGGACTGATCAAAGGTGATTCTGAGCCTACTTCAAACAAAGCAATGACTTGGCCAATTTGTTAAATAAACGGAAACCAGATTGGTTTATTCTCAAGTGGTCCATTGTAAAAACTCCTGTTCTATCCTCACAGCTAGTGGCAGTAGTTCATTGTGTTGAGATGCCATGCACTGGAAGACATATACAAGTGTTGCTTATCACTTATTTTAGTTATATAAAAAAGGTAAAGGTACCCCTGCCCGTACGGGCCAGTCTTGACAGACTCTAGGGTTGTGCGCCCATCTCACTCTAGAGGCCGGGGGCCAGCGCTGTCCGGAGACACTTCCGGGTCACGTGGCCAGCGTGACAAAGCTGCATCTGGCGAGCCAGCGCAGCACACGGAAACGCCGTTTACCTTCCCGCCAGTAAGCGGTCCCTATTTATCTACTTGCACCCAGGGGTGCTTTCGAACTGCTAGGTTGGCAGGCGCTGGGACCGAGCAACGGGAGCGCACCCCGCCACGGGGATTCGAACCGCCGACCTTTCGATTGGCAAGCCCTAGGCGCTGAGGCTTTTACCTACAGCGCCACCCGCGCCCCTATTTTAGTTATAATCCATCTTTTATTTCTGTTATTGTACATTGTTCTAAAAATCTTAAAAAAGTAATACTTGAAGGGTAAAAAATATGCTTTCTGAATGTTTCAGAAGTTGAAATGACAGTGGGAGTTCCTCCTAACTTGGAGAGCAAAAATCAATAGTGAGCACAAAATTTTGGTTAGCTACTGGGGGCACACCACAGAACACCCACAAC